CCCAAGTCCTGGACATTCATCTGGTCGAACCCAGAATAGAAGCTACAGTCCGACAGTTGGGACTGCGATTCAACCTCAAACACGCTAGTATTCCGCCGCCATCGGACTGGGGTCGGCAGGGACACCCAGGCAGGTGTCCTCTGGCCCCCAACAGACAGACTACGAATAGTGTTCGCGAACATGGGATAATTAGGAACATCGGACAAGCATGAATATCGGACAAGCATGAATATCGGACAAGCATGAACATCGAACCAGGCGATCAGTGTATAAAGCAACAGCTGAACATTGTAGGGCAAATACGTGCCATTGTATGGACCACTCACCGACAACCTGCCTTACTGCGTGCTGTTGATTCTTGTTTACTACTGGTGATTTAAGATGGCCCATCAATTCTCTGAGCTGAACGAGCTGCCCCGAATCACCACCGACCGGGCCCAGTCAACATGGAACCCATTTGATTTCTCCGACTTTTCTGACTTCTCCATCCCCGACACGTCAGACACGATCATGCAGCAAATGTCCGACGACCTGCTCTCGGATCCGCTTCTCGGCCTGCCGGCCAGCTCACCAGGCGCGACCGCCGCACAGTCCGATGCATGGGACTGGAACAGTGATGCTCAATACTACTTGGACAGCAACGCAAGCCGCCCTGCAGAGGGTAGTCCTCCCGCCTGCTCTTCACCACCGCAAGAGCCAGCCGAAGTGCCCGAGGCTGGCGCCCCTGCGGTTGACGTCCCTGGTGGGACCATCAACGTGGGCCGCGAGGTGCTGGAGTTCGTACGCAAAGCTGCTCGGTTCGAGGAGCATGTTACAAACAGGCTGGACAAGATTGAAGAAGCTCTCCGTCTTCAGGAGAACAGGTACGTCAAGCATTGATTCGAGATTGACAGGCATCCTGGCTGACGTCTGGTAGACTGGAGGACGACAAGGCGCGGATGTGTCAGGAAGTGGACGCAAGCATCGAGAAGCTGAAGGCGTGGATGAGCGAGCTGCAGAAGGTTGTGCAAGAGGCTCATGGGCAGGGTGAGCTGAGCTGAGCGTAGGGCTGACGTGATGGTTGCATCCTGCACGCTGTTCTACTCTGCAGCCCGGACGAAACGGGAAAACGCATGTACTGTACTGTACCATACATACCTCAACGAACGACTGCTTGCTGTGAATGTTTTCAATCATGATACCATCGTGACGACTCGGCCATCCTGCCCCTGCAGCAGCCCCCATGTTTCAGGTCCCAAATAAGGACCTCGATCGTCATCAAGGTTCTCTCCTCTCCTCGATCAGGGCCATGGCGCGGGCCTAACACGTCGAAGACAAGTTCGCGGTGCATACTTAAGTGCGGCTGTAGGTGTCATGGAAGGGCCCGGTCCTGTCCCACATTGACAAGACACAACATGGCCCCAAAAGAGACTGTCCGACACAAGAAAGCCGTCAGAAGGAACATTGGCTCCTTGCTGACGAAATGCGAGGACTACAGCAACCTCGGCAACATCGAAGTCGCGCTGTATGTCTTTTTTCCCGATGACGGTGGCTTTGTATCATACGAGTAGACCGACCTGCACTGGCGTCAGGACATCGAAGCCAAGGTAGGCTGACAGACACGGCGGCCCTTCATTTGCTCCTGTTCATGATCCAACTGACCCGACTGCCGACCATCGATAGAAAAGCAGCACGCAGCCAACGCTTCACTTACCGGAGAACCTCAAGAGATGCATCGGTCAGAAAGTGACGGGCTTCTACTTCAAGCAGAAGCGAGGCCGCCTTGCTGGGGTGAACAAGACAGGCGTGGCGGGCAAGTCGGACATGACGAGGAAGGCGGACATGACGGGGAAGGCGGACATGACGAGCAAGACGGGCACGGCCATGGGGCATCAAACTGGGGTCCAAACGAGGTGGACCAGGTCTCTGGCCCGTGCTGGTCCAGCAAACAGGAGGCAGATGGGCCGACGTGTGGGCTGTGCTTTCCCCGCCATGCCAGATCTACGGATTGGAAGCTTACAGCCGCGGGGGACCATTGTTTGCGCGAGCTGATGGCACGATCAGGAGCGTGTTGTTGGTGTTCCTTATGCTGCTGATGTTAGAAAGTGTTCCGAGAGGCAATGCAACGGGATTTCCAATCATTGTTCGTGGCTCCACTACCTATTTTGTTCGCCAAGTGCATTGGTCTGACAGTTTGATTTGGTTCGCAAGCATGTTCGGTCCAACAAGACCATCATCGGAAGAAAATCAGGTGGTTTCTATTTTCCCGGACGCAGCATCCGCCTCGGCAACAGGGCTCACAAGTCGTGCCAAATCCTACCAACCTCTTTCGTATGTGCCAAGAGGCACCCATCCTAGACCTGCGCCCATCGCGGTTGGAAAGCCTCTCGTGACTGTCTGGTTCTGCTGGTTGCGCGGCGGCCCCCTGCCTCTCGTTACATTCTGCACATTGGATGACCGGCTACAACGGAACTGCTCACTTCCCAGCCACACTTAGGACGTCCCAAGGAGACGGAACCCAATCGGGGGAGCTGTTGAAGCGCCTGTTCGACCACCGTTGACCCGCCAGACCCACCAAACATCATTATCTCCACGACTCATGCGAGACAGCCCCGGCAACCGTCCTTCCAGCCTGACGAACAGCCAACCAACAGGTGGAACGTGCATCGGACTGATCATCCCTCAAGAACCTCGTCGCGGCATCTCCGTGCCCCGTGTCTCATGCCAGGCACAATCCAGGGCGACGCGCACTTTCGGGGCCAAAGTCCAGACAGGTCAAGCGGACCTTGGCGTCCCCCCTGCGCTGTACGACGTCGCGGACTCGATCGACAATTTGGGGGTCTGCACACACTGCCGATGAGCACTCATTAGCAATCAGACGACATGAGGTGATCGGGTGACGACAATCACCCACGAGATATGACAGTACGACCCCCATGTTGGCCAAGCTCAGCATCCGTTAGGTACGCTGCATCCATGTCCTTGTACGTCACGACGATGCGCTTGCCTCGGTTGACAAAGTCGGTTACGCTAGCCTCTCGCGATACGAAGCCGCCGACCACAAATAGATAGATGTGTAGGACCTAAGGGACGTCAGCTCGTCGTCGGCGCCAGATCCGTCGCCAGATGGGTCATCGACAGAGTGGTCAGTGCCGGGAGTTGGTCGTCGTCGCCGCCGGAGCAAGAGGCCCCCACACTTACTTGGCTTTTTTCGTCGAGCTCCAGCAGCTGCTGCATCCTGTCGGCCACCCACCCGAGCTGAACTGCGACGCCATGTCAGTGGAGAGAAGACGGCAAGTGGCACACGGCACACGGCAATTGGTATGATGCGGCGCGCGCGCGATGCAGAGGGAGGGCTGGACGCACTCTCAGCATCCACTTGCCAGAACAACGTCACCCTCTTCGTCTTGACGCCGCAGTCGTAGTAGCTCCTGAGAAGCTGCGCGACGTGTGAAAGCTGACCGGCGATTCCAATGCCGGTCGCGAAGAGGACAACATTGTCATACACGTCGAGGTTCATCTCTTGACCGTAGGGTCCATCTATGAACGCTCTGGAGCGGTAGTTGTTGGTGAGCTTGTTGTCCTTCATGTGAAAGATTTTCTGTGTGAAGCCCTGCCGCTTCTGTGCAATGAGAACAATGTAATCGTCGTCGTTGACGCGATACCACCATGCGATGTAGAATGGATGAGACTGGACCACGGCCGTGTGACTGACCGCCGGCACAGTCAGGTAGACGTACTGCCCGGCGCGAATATTCCATGGCCTTGGCAGTCGGACGTGGATGTGCACAGCATCTTCGAGCGGTATACTTGTTTCTCCCAGCTCGAACGTGATGGTGCGCACAGCAACCCGACTCGACGGCGCGCCGAGCTGCACATTGCGGTACACCATCATGGTGAGCCGTACAAGCCACACGAGACCCAGACAACCGCCGGCTGCCACGACATATCTCTTGGGCGCGTCCAGCACGTCCGACGTAGGGTTGTGGAAATAGACGAAGACACCAGCGCACACGGCAAGGCCAAAGTGGAGGGCGGCAAACATTTCATATGTGCGTCGTCGAATAATGCTAGTCAAAGGGATGGCGACCATGATGCTCGCAACCTAGACATGCTTCAGCATCGCTCTTCGGTCCGCCCCCCCTTTAGATGCTTGCCCATGCCTACTCACCACAATACCCGAAGTGTCGCTGAACTTCCCCACGTCAGTGGATGACTCAGTCGACAGCGCCACGGCGGTGTGGGTGAGACCTTGGACGATGGCCATGATGCCGAGCCAGCGATGCAGAGCAACAAGAGCCCGTAAACTCAGCCCACAGCCACTCGCAATCACATTCATCTGAGTTCCCAGAAAGAGCGGTGCCATGTTGACCACGGACAAAACGCCTGACCGCCGGACGAAGCCTGAGACGTCGTGAACACCGACGGCCAGTGGTACGGCATTGGCGGCAATGAAGAGAACAGCGAGCATGAGACGAAGCCAGGTAATTCGCCTGAGAAGGCGTGTTGATCGAGAGATAGTTTTCCACGAGAGATAATGCAGGAGGTTGCCATGGGTCAGGTATCGTAAAACGTTGAACGTGAGCAAGGCTAGGTTCACTACAATGGACGTGGAAAGAGGTCCCCCAATTGCTAGGGCGTACCAAGTAACGGGGTCCATAGCTTGCTGAGAGCGTCTTCGCAACTGCGTATCAGTATGCACTATACGATACACGCACAGCATCTTGCAGTCGTAGTCCCACCCAGAACGGCTTTATGCTAGCAGCATGGCAGGGACCTATTTCTGTCCTTGTTGCGCTGTTGCGTGAATTCGTCAGTTGCCCCGGCCAGTTGCTATTGACCGCATGCTGGACGGGCAGGGCCGAGAATCAGGCTCATATCCTCAACGTACTCACCACTCCCATACGTCAGCAGATTTGAATATAAACGGGTGCAGAATATGATTAAGACAAACAAACATAGATGCGTAGACCAGACCACCACACACTCGACCAGACCGGTACTTTTCTTCATCCTTCACCATGACGCATGACCAGTCCGCCCAGACAGAGGCAGGCCACTCCGCCGCAATGGCACTGCAAAGCCAAGCGATCAAGGACAGCCGCTTCGAAAACGTAGTGAGTAGTCTCGTCCGCAGGCTTCCAGTCTTTCTACTGACATCCTAGTCCTTCACCGGTAACGGCGGGTCGAGCAGTGATGACCTGGCCGGACGGCTAGACTACGACCTCTGGTCCTTGATTCAACATTTTGATAAGGCGCGCAGGACGCTGGACGCATATCGCGATGCTGCGCAGAAGGAGAACCTAGAACGGTCCTACATTCTACAGCAGCAACACAACAACCTGAACGCTCGCTGGTCGAGCAGCTATGGCGAGCTACAGAAAGAGGCCCAGAAGAAGGCCCGAGACCTCCAGAAGGTCGTGAAAGAGCTCGAAAATGCAAGAGCCGAACTCGAAGAAAAGAAGAAGGAAAGCCAGTTGAATGACATGGCCGTGCGTGAGCTCCAAGAGACCGTTGAAATGCAGAACATCGAAATTGTTCGAGCACGCGAGATTCACGCCCAGCTCGACAGCGCGGAAAAGGAGTTGGCCGAATGCAGATCAGTCAACCAAGCGGTCGAGGCAGTGTTGGAGATGAAGAAGACACACATCGTGGAACTCGAGTCCGCCTTGGGGGAGATGACCGCAAAGAATGACCGGCTGGCGGCTGATCATATCGAGCACGAATCACTCAAGTTGCAATTTCGCTCTCTCGAAGCCGAGCACGCCGAAGCTCTGGATATCGCCAGCGGTCTATTCGACGGAGAAATTGGTACCACACCGGCCGAGCTCATTGGCCAGAACAGGGCTTTGGAGCAGCAACTTCGGGAGCTCCAAGCCGAAAACAAGGCCCTCGCAGAGCGCCTGGCACAAGGGATGGGAGCGCAAGCGGACCGTGATGGTTCGTCTCGGGGCCAGTGCCATCGCGACAGATTTGTGTCGCGTGCTCACTGCCATCACCCCGTCGATGCCTAGCGGGTGAGCTGGGTGATCCCGCCGCTTTACGATCACCCGCTAGTCTCCCGGTCGCGCGACGGCTGGGTGAGTGGGTGATCCTAAGGTGACCAGCGCCGCCTTGATCTCTACCTTGGTGTACGTACCCCTCTTCCCCTGACTCGGATAGTCCGACCGTCCGGTTCTAGTTGACGTAGGTGGCGCGCTGCCGCCTATTATTCGAGGTCAGTTCTGAGACTATCATTTTATGCAGCCGCCGCAGCATCGGATTAACTGTCAGCTTTGCGTCATAACTTCTATATCAGGCCGCTCGCCGACGATGCCCCTGAGCGACGACGCACGCTGTGACCCCTAAGACCGTATTCCAACGTATCAAACATGGAGGCTGGGTCTGCATGCCTGTACACCTCTAGGGTAGGATCCACAGGAAAAGCAGGTTTCCGGCAGCTTCCAGATGTGGAGGCTGAAAGACAGGTTCCATGCGTAGCAGCGCGTGCGAGGCTGCGGAGGCTTTGCAGTCACATTACTTTACAGCTTCCTGTCCCTGGGCAATCGATCTGACCTACCTGACTGAGCCCATTCCTAGGCTCGATCGGAAAGAGATTCGTTCCTCATGGCTGAATTATCATAGGAGGCCACGGAGCTCAACAGTCCTGCCATAGGTAGCTCGAGAGACTAATCGTGAGAAAACCTGAGTGGGTCTCTCACCATCGTGCTTGTATCTTCCCCTTGGTAGACACGATAAATGATTCATGTGACCCGTGAAATCAGGCAAGGGTATTTGTATTGTCCGTAGACTACATAAAGTGATGATGGAAGCATTATCCATGATAAACACGGACTTCGGCGCTGGGAAACGAGCACGATGGTGCAACAACTGAGCGATGAGGTCTTCGAACAAGGTAGCATCCGGTATCTCTATGTATACCCTCGACAGCATAATATCATCCTGGGCAAATGCCAGGAGGATTTGGTACCTTTGGTCATGGCTGAACCTCCCTATCTTCTTGAAGGCCGTACCCAAGGGAGCCCAATCTATGTGTCAGTGCCAGTCTCGGCTGTCGCAGTCAGACTCGTCTATGAAGACCAGCTGAAGAGAACTACTAAGCAGAGAGCTTATACAGTATGTGGAGAGGTCACACAAATCGGGGTCGCGCTGCTGCGCAGTGCGTCGGCTGATTTCTTTAACCGTCCAGTAGACAAGAGACTGCCCGTGGTTGTGGATGGTGATACTTCGATGTCAAATCGACCCTCTAGGAAATCAGTCATTTCATCTCTGTACATATCAGGCTCCAAGCTAGCTTAGCTAGTAATACTTCCACCATGGATGGTGTTCGACACAGCTCGGCTTCGACCGACGTCCGTCTTGGAGGCCGTGGTCCTTCCGAAATATCGAAATATGTTGCGTATTCTGCGTATGTCGCTTTCGCTGCACCCCATTTTGCGAGCTATGGCCCTTGTTTTGATCGGTCAACAATCATGGCTTCAACCACAGCATACTGGGATGCCGACAGATGCGGCGCTATGACTTCGTGGCCGCCAATGATCGATTTCGTTACGTGGGTGTCATCGGGCTCTGCCTAGCGAAGGATACCGAAAAGCTGGGTGACATGACCGACAGCGAGACGATCAACGACGAGGAGGCCAGCGTTCGCCGGGGAGACTGCTTCTCCTCGAACCTTCCACATCGGTGCAATTGACTCTGTCAGGGTCAAACAAAGGGATTACTTCCCCTTCGTGTTCCATATCGTCACAATGCAGGATGACATGACAGGCTCACGTCCCTGTGTGCCTCCGCTAAACCACAAGACCACAAGCGCCGAAGCTGCTCCTGTTGTGGCTTGGGAAGTCCAGGCACCCTTGCAGATAGCCACGTGGGTTTCGCTTGAAGAACCTGAAGGCGACGAAGTCGGTGGGTCATCTTGCCGAAGTGAGGTCCTCTTCTCCAGCGGTCACCATACTAGAAGGCAGTCGCTCGCCGTCATCGTCAGCTTGGAGATTGACAACCGCTCCGACCTCGCGTCTTCTGTTTGCACCATCGCGCTGAAGTTCTACAGCTCGGTCAGCGATGACTAACACTATCTGCCAATCACCATCGCGTCGATTTCACGTCTAGTTCTCCACCACGACTGTCATCAACGCTCACTGCCTTGGTGATCACCTTGCCTTGGATGCATCACCGCATGAGCCGTGTCGACCGGTCAGTATCGTTCATTCTGTTCCTAGTTCTTTCATCCTAATCCGTGTCCAATCCCGCCTCCTCGGCGTCTCGGATAGTCTCCTCGCTCAGCCGCTCAAGCCTCCGTTCGGCGTCAATCATGTCTTCAGGAACGGTGTCGCCCGTGAAGTCGCGTTCCCGTGCCTCGGACAGCAGCATGATCCCGTCTAAGGTCTTGCATCGTGACAGCTGCACATACAGGCTGCAAGGATCGCACTGCTACACCCGTCAATGTTCGTCGTCCTCGTTCCCCGCAACTCCAGCACCACGCGCTCCAACGTCCGCCCCTGGACTTTGTAGTCCGTACACGCAAAGGCCGCCGCGTATGGCAAGCCTCTGCGTGTGACGTTGTGCTCCTGCCACGACCGCTTTCTCTGACCCTTATGTTCACGCTAACAGGCGTCACGAGAACGGCTCCCGGGGAGTATGCCCACGAAGCAAAAGCCGTTCGTGGTCTCCGACGCGAGCAGCAGCCTCGCTGGCGGGCCGAAGTGCATCACTGTGATGGTGTCGACATGGTGGCCTGGATGTGTCTTGTCCAGGATGGCTTCGACCGCGGTGTATCTGGCGCCGTTTTCTAGTTTCAAGGCCGCGCGAGCCTGCTGGTTCAACACGATAACCGTGGTGAATCTTATCCACAGAGCCTGCGCAATGTCGTGTTCGCGCCCCCAGCATGCTCACCTCGTCTATGATCAAGATCAACTTCTCCTGCCAGTCCATCCTGGTGCGGCCACCGATGCGGAGGCTCGCCGAACCAGCCGCTGCGAAGCCGTCCACGTCCTTTCCATGGCCTCATTGCTATGGAATCCTTGGGAAAGCGACAGGCAGAGTAGATAGTGATGCCGTTGATGTTCGCGGCTGCAGTGCCTGAGGTCACCGTTATGAGGAGCCGTTCGGTTTGGGTCGTGCGAGCAAAAAGCTCAGCAACGGCGGCAATGACGCGCGACTTGCCGGTTCCATCTTCCCCTCCAACGAACTGGCAAAGCTGGGCATGGCCCCCTTGACCTTGGCGCTCTCGGTCAAGCTGGCGGCATATCAGTTAGAGGGCAATGCACTGTCTGTGGTTGAGTGTCAGCGTCTTGGCTACGTGTCTCCCTGCCTCGCGAAGGGATGTGGACGGGCCGACGCGGACGCTAACAGACGGCTCCGTGGCAAGAGACGGTCGATGCGAGTCGGCATCGGAGCTCCATCCGTTTGTCAGACAGGTTGGGTTTGGTCACCTGGCGCCAAAGCGGCGGCCTGAAAACGGCATAGTTGCTGTGCCATCGCAATGATGGCCTTAGAGCCGGCGGTGACTTCTTTGGCGGCCACCGCGTTTCTGACGACGTCTACCAGGCGCATCGCTGTGCCGGCACTACCTGACATACGTTCCGCCCTCGCATCCTCCTTCTCGGCATCGCTGGATTGAATTTTACTAGCGCCGACTGCATCTTCTTAGCGCATTTTTTGGTATTTTCACAGCCTGTGGGGCTGCTTTTGCCGAGGTTGCCTTCAGGGCGGTCTTTGTGATGGGTCTGCGGTCCTTCTGGGGTGCGAGACTCGAAGAACGGTTGGGCATCACTCGGGACGGAGGGGTCGGTCATCTGCCGAGCACTCGCCAAGAACCCACTTCTGGTACATCGCGCGAATCGATTCCGCAATGGAGCATTTGTTGGACTGGTCAAGAGAGAAGAACCGCGCATTCAACATTCATCAGACCCAGCTTACCCTACCGTAACCACGCGAGTACGTAACGAATTTTCCGTACCTCATCACGTTTTGGCTTCATGAAGGCCAAGCGGGTTGTCAGTCGTGCTTATGTAACCACTACGGGTGGGATGAGAGCAGGCTGAGACAGGGGCAATGTAGTTTATATAGCGATAATAGGAAGATTAAACCTACGGTTACTAAACACCGAGCTTTTCAGTTGACATACATGGTACATCGGACCCTCAGATCCGGGCCTTCCATGCTGTAGAGGCAAGAGGGGTAGATTTCTAAGCAGTACTCCTGTCACACCGGATGATTTTGGCGACAAGCAAATTCGGCAGTCCCCGTGTTATGATCAGAAGTCAGAATTGCGTCTAGTACATCACGACGCTCGGGTTGAAAACCTTGTATGCTTGGCTTGCTTACGAAGGCCCTATGTGTATGTTGCCGCGACCCTCCTTCCCCTTCAAACCCCGGCTCATGATAAAGAACGCACCCCACAACACCCGCACTGACTCAAACTCGACCGCCAGAAGACTCTTGCATTCGAAATTAAACCATCAGCCTTTGTGCAATTTGCTAAGTAAACCGCCAGCCCAATCCCCAAACCCGGATATCGATGTGGATGGACAGATTCCTTACCTTACTGGTATGGGTTGTCGCCCTTATCAACGAGCGCCCCACGCATGACCTGAGCGACAAGCCAAGCAAGGTTCATGCCCGCATATCACATCAGTTCCTACCATCCTACCATCACAAGGCCGAACGCCGGGCTGGTTGTAACACCGGCAGAAATGGCAAGTCCATCCACGGTTGACAATTTCGAATTGAATGCGGCATTCTGGCCTCTCGCAGACCCTATCATGTACAGAGTATAGATACGTCGATTGGGGTGGTGAGCATCGGAGGAGCTTGTTGGTTCGCCTATCGCGACGATTGGCCTGTACGGCCTCAGGGCAATCACGGGGGTCCTCTGGTTCCCAAGTCGCCCTGCTGATTTGATGGCCACAGGCACCTTTCCGGGCGTATCTCCCACACATATTTGACACAAGGGATTGGTTGAATAGTAGAAGAACAAGAACAATTGTGTGTGTACGCAAGGTACAACAAGTATCCAGGTCTTGATGGGAAGCAAAGCGTCAGGGATGTAGACAATTCGAGGTGGGTGAGGAGGCTATATGTAAACTCGTTGTCGTCAAGAGGACACAAACGTATCCATCCTTGAGAGACGATGAATCGTCCATCTTTGTATGTGTCAAGACTTCTGCTGTGCCTGTGGCGAATGTCAAGACTCAGCGCTTCTGGCCTCAAGATGGTCGGCTCTTGTTCACGAGGCCGTTCGGCAAGGTCTCGTGGCTAATCCCCTGATGTTATTTGGCGCCGATTAAACCAGTTGGCCAGATAGACGTCTTGAAGGCTATGATTGGTAGGCTGAGCTGTCTAGGTTGAGACAACGTAGCTGCTGATTGACCAGAAGGCCCCTAAAGTTCTCATCCAGGGCAGTCAGGCTCTGCACTTTTGGGCTTCACTAGCCGCCTTAGCTCTTCTGTAATTCCAGCCATTCACCTTGTCCTTCAACACGGCGGTAAATGGAACAAGGCACGATGCCGACATGGCGGTGGGAAAGCGCTTAGCGGCATGCCTAACAGACTGGCCAATAATGTAGCGCTGGGTCCCGCAGAAGCGGCCGATGACAGCACCACGTCGCCTGGGTTCAGGGACCAGAATTGAAACCTCAGGCAGGAATATGGCCCAACCTCACGCCCCAACCATCTCAAACCTCTTTTTCTGCGATACATGACCATCTCCCAGTCTAGCAACCATCATCTACTCAAATCGTATTGAAAGCCCGCACGGTGATCACCGAATCGCCATACCTCGATGTCTCCGCTTGAATATTTCGTGGAGTCGTATCTCACGAGCGACAAGGACGACGACTGCGAAATCACCGTTCGACGCAATGGCAAGCTTATCTACCTGCGGCTCTCTCCATTGCAGTTCCAGGAATCACCCGAAGTCGAGGCGTATTACTTTAAGTGCCTGAACGTTCTCAAGTCTGGAGAGGAGGTTATTGACGATTTATACGACGACGAGGCCCAAGAATGGCTCGTGAAACCATTCGAGCCCCTGATGGCGCAATTCGCAACCGAGCCACCAGGAGGCCTTGGAATACCGACTTTGGCGAAATATTTTTTCGCCGACTATTTAGTTCTCACTCTAGATGTGAAGAAAGAAGAGCTTCGACCGCGTCGTGTCGAAACCCAGACGCCCCCTCGGATACCATGGGTTTGGATCTCTGATGAGCTCGCTCACGACTTGGAAGGATGGACCACAATATACCCTCCTTCACAGGTCGAGATATACTACGACCGGCCTCAAGACGTGCTTATCAGGCTGCCACGTCGAGTTCATGTTAATGATGGAAAGGATACCTACTTTTTCAAACCGTTTTGTGTCGGGGGCAGCCGCGAAGAAGTCAGCCAGGAGCTGAAAAATTTCAAACAGATTGCGATGGCGAATCTGGGACCGAAAGCCCGTGTTTGCCGCCTGCACGGCGTTGTTGGTGACGGAGACCAGTTGCTGGGGATGCTTCTGACGTTTGTTGAGGAGCGGCTTCCTCTTCATCGGGCAAGAGCGTTCGCTCCGTCTTCGCTAAGACAACAATGGGCAGCACAGATCAAGGACTCGCTGGCTGCACTGCACAAAGCTGGCCTTGTCTGGGGGGACGTGAAGCCTCACAACGTCTTGATCGATGCCGAAGATAACGCGTGGCTAATTGATTTCGGAGGAAGTTACACGGAGGGCTGGGTCGACAGGCAGGAAGCAGGGACCGTAGAAGGGGACTTACATGGTCTAGCCCGGATTCTGGAGTTTCTATCCTAGTTCTAGTGCAATCAGGTTCCTTGTCCGATATCGCAGACGATATTAGCAAACCAGACAAACACGCAGAAGCAGGCACAGTTGCAAACATCAGTCTAGATCTTAAGGTGTCTTCCCATGCTGCCGATCAGGCCGTGAATCTTTCGATCGTCTGAGCCCCCGGTTCTGCGGGCTTCTCTTCCCCTGTTGGGCCTATGGACCAACCACCCCATTCCCTCGTCATCACTGCTAAAGGCGCCATCATCACTGCTGGAAACGTCGCTATTAGTGAGAAGGCCGGGGTCGTCAGCGATGAAGTCATCAATGTGATTGCGATAGCCGATGCGTCTGAGCGCTTCTGGCTGACGAGGGCGATACGTCAGACGTCTGTTCTCAGAATGCGATAGCGAAGGAAGTCGCCTATGAGTCTCTAGGTAGCGACGCAAGGCAGCATCTACCCTTTCTTTGTTGCATATAGCCCGCATCACAACGAGACTTATTAAGAAAGGGGGGCCGCGCTCCGCCTCAACGAGAGCCACCCCGTCCGGAATTGTAGTCGAAGTCGCATCGTAGCACGCATACTTGAGAATGCTTTTCGGTCGTTGAATGCTGCCTTGGACCTGTTTCATGCTACTCGGCACAAAACCTTGCTGACTCAAGTGCTGGCTAAAATGAGCCTTCTTCACCAGCTGGCCCGCCTCAGTTCCGGATAGCAGCTCTATCGACTTCCCATTGAAGCCTTCCACGATGAACTGCATTCTCGCGAAACGCGCAGAGGAGAGATCAAAGGGTTTGCTATCAAGCGCCACTTCACGTACGTCGGCTGCTTCCCAGCCTCGAAAACCGAGGATCCGTCGGTTATCCAGGGTGTAACCTGGCTTCGGGTACGATTCAGATAGTGAAAAGCCGCTGAATCCAACTTGCTGCGTGTAGTTTTGAGATGATGCTGCGGGTGCGTCCGGCATAAGTGTGTCTTCCGGTTCCACAGGAATGAAATCTGGTTTGGATTCCCGGAGGCCTGGGAAACCTGATTTTGCTTGAGGCTTTAGTGCGATTTGGCGAGGTCCATTGTACGGATAGCCCTTCTTGGCATGAACTGAAGCAACAGCTTCGCGGATCAATTCTGTCCACTTCACTGGCCATTGGTTCTCTGGGCGCTTCCTCACAGCGTCAAAATTTAACAGGATAGCATGGCCGAGACCTTCAGCGACATGGGCAGTCTTCTTCTCTCGGAGGCTGCGTTTCATATTTCTGAAATCGCTCAGAACGGAGGCAAGATCATTTCCCTTGAACGTGTACATCGATTTTGGCATTCTAGATGCTTTGTTGATTTGTTCAATGCTCTTATTCGCATTCTTGATGCGGAAGTCTGCTTGTTTCCAATCATCCACGTTGCTGCTCGTAAACCAAGTCAAGACATCGCTATTCATCTGGTCCAAGATATCGGTGATAGTCGTGTCCGGTGATGGAACATGAGGGAATGTTGCCTCTTTTGAGAGTTCTTCTGCTTCAGACTCCGAATCTGTTTCGTCTTTGTGTTTGTTCAGACCAACATCATCCTCGTCTTCACGGCCCCACGCACTTTGATGGAAAGCTTCTTCGAAGTGAGGCTTTTTGCTCATGTTCGGGGCACCCTGGTAGTCTGATTTGGCTATTTCTTGGAGGATTTTGTCGTAGCGAGCCTTTTTCTTCGAGTCATCAAGTACTTTATAAGATTCCACAACGCGGTTGTAGCACTTCTTAGCGCCCGGAAACCCGTTTTTGTCCGGATGAAACTTGAGGTGCTGGCTCCGTAAGGCTTTAGCCAGTTTTGTTGCATCTGCATAGTCTGGTAAACCCAAAATGCTGTAATGACTTGGGTTTTCGTTCAAATTCCATAGAAAACCATTGATTGCCTGCCTTTTCTCTTCCGAAAGTCGGGGATCCGGAGTTTCCTCCACTGGCGATTCTGGCAACTTCCATAAATAATCCTTGATTTCCTTCTTCTTTTCTTTCAAAGGTCGGGGATCAGGGGATCCCATCGCAGGCGATTCTGGCCCCATATCTGACCCCGACTCGCTCTTGGCATTGGGTGGGTGATAGTTGGTTACGGCAGCACGGTCTGACCCCGACTCGCTCATGGCGTTAGGTGGATGATAGTTGGCTGCGACAGCAAGTTCTGACGCCCCGTGACCGCGAGGAGAGTATGAAGAGCCGTCAGCCCTCGATTGGATGAGAGTTTTGAATCCCGTCAGGTCAGGATAGACCACCTTACGGTCATCCGACATATTCTTCCGCTTATTGTCGGTATTCTTTGATGCCATCATAGATTATAGCGATGAGAATAGAATAGGTTTGGCCTTTCACCCACTACCAGTCGTCAAGCGACGTGGGGTACTTTATATCCTAGAGGTATACCCAAAACAGGAACCACGAGGCTGTGCTCAACGTTACTACGGACATCTCTCCTCAAAATAGCTGCACCTAAAAATAAGTTTTAGTCCGATACGTTCTATTTTTATGCAGTGTTGTATGTAGTAGCCCATAAACATGTGAGACTCGCCATTCCGTGTAGGTTGTCGTCTCTCAGTCAGTCTACAACATGGCGGGTGCGGCGTTTGTAGCGAATCTCTGGCAGCCGACCATGACGAGCCTACCAGACACAACTTCTTTACAGTTCAGTCTTGGACCGACCCGTGCGTTGAATACAACGTCAGCCGTTATCCCACCACTTACTACAAGTCCGCCCCCGATTACAAACTCGGAGCTGCTGTTGCCTAAGGCTTCTGAGACGTCCGACCTGAAGAGTTCACATTTCGATGTCGTCAACAACCTACCCACCGCGTTGCAAATGTCCCGAGGCGAGAAGCTCAGAGGCAGTCGTGCTTGGATGGTTTTCTGGATAGTCACAGGACTCCTCATGTTTTCTCAGTGACGTCGAGGAGGGAAGCAATCACTGTTGGCTGTACTTTGCTTTCAGCATGTTCCCAGACATAGTCTTCACGAATTTCTCTATAAAACAAGCAGTGCCGTTTTGAACGTTGTCTTTCAGATGAATGTGGTGGTAGTAGCCTGTTTATTCAATTGTAAAGCTCATTAAGGCGTCCCACGGTGTGCACGAATGACCTGGCGTATCGTATCCTTTCACCCAACTGTCACCATAGCAGGGCCCGCTACAATATGTCTGCTCAGCTCCTCATACGTCGTGAACTGTGCTTGGATGGTGATGGCGATGAATGCGACTCCACGTACGCCTTCAGGCACGCTCCATTCGCCAGAGTGCTCATTATTGAGGCGCATTGGCGTATGTATAGGTCCTCCAGGTCTACTCAGCCAGCTGAGAAAGAGCGGCTGAACGGTGATACCTTGGCTTGCCAGCTCACTCGCTTTCCAACTAAGTCGGGCCACGTAACGGGCATCCTCGGAGCTGACATGTCCATTGAGCTGTGGAAGTGCTGACACTGACGGAAGCAGAGAACAGGAGTCCGGCATGACAAAGTGGCGAACGAGGTTGAATGCCCAAGTGGCGGGCATGGACGAATCAAAGGGTCTTACTGCCGCTTCTTTCCAGACTTCCGTACTAAGAATGTTCTGGTGTCGGGCTTCAGCAGCTGCCATTTCTGCAAGGCCCGGTGCGAGAACGGCGTCTTCCAATGGCAAATTGATCAGCAAATCCAAGGAACTTCCTGTTTTAGCGGCGCTGAGAGATTGCCCAGCACCCGTGAGAGTTGACCCATTCAAGTTAGAGAACAGGAATTTGCACACGGGGCCCGGTTTGGTGCCTGCCGCAGTGAGGATGCCATGTAGTGCCTGTCGATGCACTTCGTCTTCCTAGTAGCAAAATCAGATTCACGACGCACCAACCAGATTGGCAGAGCATACGTTTAATACGGCCTTGAGGTTCTCTGGAATGGCAGTACTGTTTGTTAGACTGCGTAGGTACGAGATCTCAGCATGCTCTAAAAAGAGAGCTACTTGCAAGTTACTAATGGTAGGGGAGGAGATGTTCAATGTTGTGATCTGATTCATGCTAGGTGTACTGGCCGGATATGCAGAACAAACCGATATACACAGTGTAGAGAGTGCAAAGAGGTTCTTCATGTTGGCGGTGGCTTGACTCGCTCGCATTGTCTCAAGCGGAACGGCAAACGCACGCGGGCCAGACAAGGGATATACTTTGTCGGTGGTGGCTTTGCTCGTGATTCTATTCTTAGCATCCGGTATGAACTGAGCATGCTATTTTGAGAACCCAGACGAATTGGGCGCAGGCAGCGCTACTTACTTCCGTCGCCTGGCAGTCATTGCACTGGGTATATAACCACCGCTCTCTTTCATAGAATCCCTCTTGACCTTTCTCTACGCTGATGCCTTCGTCGGCAGTTCTTGGCCGTGTCACGCTGGTTCGGAGTCCACCTCATCTTGAGTACGTCGTTGCCGCCAATCCACTTACATGCATTATCCCAACCACTCCCATGCTCTGCGTGGACAGGCATAGGTGACGTAAATGACAAGGATGACAGCACAGGGAAGTGACGTCAGATTGCATCGCGGGACTGAATCTGAGCTTAATTCGACCACAGGCTTCGTTTGTCCAGGTGTCAGCATCCGAAGTCCGCTTTGCGCGCTTGCAAACTCGACTCAGATCTCTGCATAGCAGGCTGGACACAGGATGCGCTTCGAGAGTCCTGCATTGGTCCCGCCATCTGCGACCTCTTCTGGTGTGCCCCACTGAGCTGGCTTCACGTTCGTCTGAAATGCTGCCACGCATGCCTGGTGAAGCCATATGCCGCAACCGGTCCCAGCCGCAGGGCACTTGATCATCAGTCGATCGGGGTTTTCTGGCTGACTGCAACAACAGACGTGGCGTGGCGCCTGCAAATGTTAGTGTTGGGGATACCGCCGCATCGCTTACCACTTACCGAGAGCTGCTGGCTCAGGACGTTGACAGCCTGCCTCCAGTACCACGTACGGTGCTTTTGATTCTTTTCCTCAACCCACTGGCGCACAGTCGACTTGCCAATGATGCAGGAAAGGCTAATAATGTCCACTGCGCACTGGTCAGCGAAGGCTGTCAGTGGTACACGATCAGCCGGCAGACGCACTGTGATTTGATGCGATCAACTCGGCATGCCCGTGGTATGCCTGTCGTCCCCCGTCATTGGAAAGCCTGGCTCCCCCGCATACCAGTTCTCCCGAAAGGTCTTCGGGACGGTACATCCACAACACCCTAGCGTAGGCGCGAGTGTTATCACAGGCTCTGATTTCCTGGATGCGTGCGATCCACAGGGCGTGGGAGTTTCTTCCGTCCTGACCTCTGATGTAAACGTAATCCCTGCGACGGTATAGCACGTCGCGGACTTTTTCATGTCAGTCGCCTTGACCGTATTGCCTTGGCCGTCGACTCACTTAGTACCTTGGTCAAGGGTTTTAATTCATCCCATTCAGCACGCGGCTCTACGATGTATCGGAGGTGAAGCGTGCTGTCGTCGTCGAAGCTTCCATTGGGTACGAATGGTGATTGCTGCAGGGGGGGGCCTCTTGATGGTGTCGTCATGTCCATTTGGCCATCCTTGTCGGCAGCAGACCAGTATGAAACTTGAAAGTTGCACATTATAGGAGCGCGACCAAGCATAACCTCTGACAGCCGTCGTGGCTCCTTTTCAGTACGATTCGCCTTACGATTATGTACGGAGTGCCTCGCGCATATCTCCCTGGAAGAAGGGGACATTGTGCGTGTGCTGACCAAAAATGTGCCTGGTCATCGTCATCAGTCTAGATCGCTGTGATGACAGATGAGGTGGGTGGTGGCCATAGCTGATATTTCAATCCTTGAAGCCCCTAACACAGTCTTGTGTCAAACTCATGTGTCGACACAACTGTCCTCCTATCGCCACGGATCACGTAGATCTCATCGACGCCACAGGAAGGTTCTATCTTCGAAGGAGCTTTTGCTTTCCCGAGACCTCAGACACGATGGAAACCCTCCTACCGGCTGATTTTTGTGGTAGCGGAACTTTCATTCTGTGCACTGCCGGGGCCTTGGTAGTCATCTACTACGCCTCTGTCGCTCTCTACAACACAACAATTCATCCTCTGGCACGTGTCCCAGGATACCGGCTTGCTGGCATGACGAATCTGTATCAGCTATTCTGGTGTTATCATAATGGACGCAGCGTCTACTATCGGAAGATTCGAGAGATGCATGATCAATTCGGACCTATTGTACGAGTCTCTCCCAACGAGCTATCCTTACGAGACCCGAAGGACTGCGAAACGATCTACGCAACTCACTCAAAGTACACTAAAGACTCCACCTTCTACCAAACTATGGGCGTTCGACACGGCATGTTTGGGGCCGAATCAAATCTCGATCATCGACAACTTCGAGCCCCCTGGCGGCAATTCTTCACCAACCCTTCCATCAAGAAGTTGGACGGCATGATACAATCAAAGGTTGAGCTCCTCTGCCAACGGCTAGACCAACAGCTCCGCCAGACCGGTAGCGCTCCGGTCCAGGATCTTCTACACTCCCTCTCATCAGACATTGTATCTCAGTACGCGATGCCTGACTGTCTCGGGTTATTGGAGGTGGAGACCCACGCCAGCGATCGGCTTTCACGGCTCTTCCACCAAGCGAAAATGATATGGATCTTCTCCGCAAGCCCCACCCTTTTCTACCTAGCTCGGTGGTTGATTACACAGCTGTCGACGTATGGGCACTTCCGCAGCATGTTCGGTCACATATCACAAGTCGGTAGCAACTGGCACGCATCTTGTAGCTCCCACCTAACGAGTTGTTAGGCCAGTGCTTTTGCGGTCGACACCTGCCTGCGTCAGCAAGACGTTAGTTCGGCATGTCCAGAACCCAAGTCGCTTGCACATATCATGACAGCGGCCTACCTATCTCGCGAGGCGCCCGCCCAGACGACGATCACGCGCGAGGTCCTCATCGACGAGCTGCACAGCCTCATGGTAGCGGGCACGTTCAACACCGGCACCATCGCTTCGACCACACTTTTCCATGTTCTGACCAACGACAGTGTTCGCCGTCGAGTGATAGACGAACTTAAAACCGTCCAGAACAAGATGACACATGCTGAACTTGAGAAGCTGCCGTACTTGGTACGCCATCCTGTGTGCTCCGTCGTTCAATCTTGCTGACACCTCTAGTCGGCTTGTGTGAAAGAGGGATTCAGGCTAGGGTACGGACCGATTGGACGGCTCCCTCGAGTTGTGCCGGAGCCGGGTGCATTCTTCCAGGGTTATTGGATTCCAGCTGGTGTACGTCATAGTCAAAAGGTGACGTAACGGTCTTTGGCTAATGTTGTCCCAGTCTGTTGTGGGCGTATCGAGCTACGTTCAACATCACAATCCCGACATTTGGGGCCACGACCACGACGACTTCAATCCGAACAGATGGCTTGACCCCACCCGTGCCAAACATCTCAACAAGTACTTGCTCACGTTTGGAAAGGATGCTCGCCGATGCATCGGTCAACGGTATGCGTCTCATTCGTAGTCACTCTAGGTGTATCTCCCTAACCGGCTACAGACTGGCCGAAGCGACTTTGTACATCGGTCTGTCGTCTATTCTGTCGATAACATGTCGACCACCGATACGATTCCGAATCCCGATTGCGACGAGATGCGTCCCCTTCCTGAAACATCATCTGAACCCGACCAGATCGAGGCGGCTCGTATCGACGATGAAACCATGAGTCCCTCGAGCCAAAGTCAACCCTACGACGAATTGGAGGATATTGAAGCCTTGTGTTGCCAGGTGGAGAAGGAATTGAAGGTTTCGAAGAATATTGTTGAAAGCGCTGTTCAGAAATGGGACTTGACGGAAGATGATAAGGACCTTCAAGAGTTCCAAGGCCAGATAAAGGAACTGGAGAATTTCCTCGAATGCGGCAAGAAGCTTGACTCCCACCGAAGGTCTATCCAACCGCCACTGGAGGACAACGAAGGAGGAGCCCTCAAGTTCTATAAAAGCCTGCTACGTTTGACAGTGGATCGTTTGAAGAAGATTACCGCGTGGCAGCACGCTCTCGGCAATGTTGGCGCCATCAGCGAGGCTGACAGCCAAGTTGCAGCGGGAACGGATGGTGGCAACGGTCAGGCCGCCGTCATTGAGAATCAGAATTAGACCATGAGAAACGTTTTCCATCTGAGTCCTCTTATTTGGCTTTGTCCCGCTCAAAGTGTCAGTAGTCAATAGAGGCGTGTTGAACCAACAATTCACGAGTCGTTGAAAAACGTTATTGGGCCTTTGATTGTAGTGATGATATGTGTACGTTGCCTTTGAGCTGCCCAAGCACATACATCGTAGCTAAAAAGACAACATGGCAGAAGAGCATCTGAGATCTTACCTCCCCTAGTTATACCTTGTGTGCCCCTCGAGAGCCTTCGCCGTCACGGCTCGTCAGTCTCGCCCTAATAAGAACCCTGAAATTCCGAAAGTAATCAGCGTCGTTACTTCTGTACATCCCCCGAAGTTGGGATAGGTCCCTCTTTGACGCCGATAGAGATACATTTTGTAGATCATGCCCAAAACGCCTGCCGCTCTAGGTTCTGCGTGGGCAACAAATCAACAGGCGTATTGACCTTCTCCTGTTGCACAATACCTTGCACCTTGATCGCAACTGCATCAAAGGTCTTGCTGCTGTACTTTTTGTACACGGCGGGATGGCGGGTGAGAGCATGGCGGCACGAAGCCCAAATATCAAAGCTAGGAACCGTGAGAACAGCTGTGCCAAAGCCGTAGGAAGAAACCAGATCCTCTGTCTTCTCGTAGTTTAGTATTCATATCCAGACAGGGCTTGGGTCAGCACATACCCAGTCTCCTTTCTCCAAAACGATGAGAGAGAGGTTAAGAGAGGCAGCAGCCAGGAAACTCGAAGGACAGCCAATAAACAGATGGTTCATGATGGCGGCCTCTACAAAGTATGAAGTGAGCAGACTGGTATCTCGGTCAACAGATGCCCCGTCTTGGGTCCACTCGATGTATTCGCTTGGACTGGGTGAGCCGAGCTCATAGCTGAGGCGCTGCAGCATGATTTTCTCTCCTTGCACAATATCGGCCTCGCTGATATCTGAGCAAGTGCACGTGGCAAAGTGATCAAGGCTTGGATACACTGTCTCTTCCATTTTGGCGGCGATGAGGAGCGCCACTGCACCAACGAGAGGCATGTCAACGGCTCGGATGGCCTGGGCGGTGAGAAATCGATCTATGTAATTGACAGCGAGGAACAAGGTCTCTGGGACGAATTCAAAATGATCGTGGGCTTGGACTAGTGTGTTGAGTAAGTAGAACCGCATGCTCCAATCCAAATCAGGCTGCCGATCGATGTAATCTGGAGATGGCAAGACGCGCAGCTACAGGGCGTCAACTTGGGGTTCAGATCACGACGTAGCGAGATTGCCTGCCTCTTGATATTTCATGTGCTCTAATATATCGAGCCTGTACTCTTCAAAGTGTTTGAAACTCGATGTTTCTTTGGAGAGAACTCGGGGGCGGGCTCCCGCACAATGTAGTTCCGACGAAGCACACCCATCGTCACTACTGGGCGTCTCGAACTGGCTGGCGGATGAGAACCAGCTTGCGGGCGACAAGGGCGTGTTTCCGTCGGCCTCCGTTAGTAAGAAGCCAGTAGAAAACGACATGTAACAAGTGTCGGGAAGAAGCTTGAACGCCGAAGCGTGTTGGATAGAGCGGTTATGCTGGCTTTGATGTTCATATATACCAGGAAGTAAAAGCACGCTATTTTTAGCCATCTATTTATGGACAATAAGGCTTCGGAAAAGAGATCCCTTTCTGTCTCTTTCCTCTTAGCCTCTCTGTCCTTATTATATGTAGCGCTTCCCAGAAACTGTTCGATTCAGCGTGCCTCTCCACCTCGCGTCTCTCTCTACCATTATGTGAGCTATGATCAATGCTTGGGGCGATAGCCCAGACTTACGGAGCCTCAATCAGCCCTCATCCGTGTGCCTGGTAGCAATGTCTCTACTAGGACGAGGTTTTCAACTTCGGCCAACCTCTTAAGCATCGTAAGCTGCCGAGAAGGTCGATGCAAAAGCCGGAGCTGAAAAAGAAGATCCTCTCTTTCTCCACGTGAAAGGCACATAACCCCCTGACTGAGCAACTCGAACTGGTTTCCACGCACGATGCCCATCCATTGGTGGGATGAGTGCTCCCACAGGGTACCATCACAAGAACCAGAGCCTTGCATCTCCATGCGGCGCAAAGATGATGGTGATTCCTACACATGCTGGTTTCTGGTGAGCAATACTGTACCAATGGAGTACTGTATCAGAGAGGGTGCTTTGAGATAAGGAGTCCCCAGCTTCTGTAGTACCTGACGGAGCGCCACTGCATTTTGGCCTACGTAGGCTTAGAAAACACGATGCCTCCCAACCGGATCAGCACTGCACCAAGGACAGCTGTCATCCGTAGCGATAAAGGTTAGTGCTTGACTGAGGTCTATTTTTCAATGGGAATTGATAGGGACGCGTGACGTTTGGATAGGGACGCGTGAGCCTTAGGGACGCGTGACTTTTATGGCCTCTGATTCGCTAATTCCTATTCTGTTAGTACACTCGAATTCTGCCGACAGCTTCCCTTGTACCTGAGCTTAGCCCGCCAATCGATAGCTGTCGGAAACGGAGCCTGCTCTCCCCCGAACGGTCAACAGGGACAAGCACCGACCGCCGACCGGGTTGAAAGGACCCGGGGCGCCTGCGACATGACAGAGTTTCAGAAGAACTTCAAGAAAAATAATCAGAATCGAGAAATCAACAGGATGAGGATGCTGGTTTCCTCCCCGAAAAAAGAATGAGCTGCTCGAGCATGCACTTGAAGTCATCGTACTTCCAACAACAGCGTCTCGACGATTAACGATCAAGACTTTTATCATGTCCTCACCCGACCCTCCATTTAGCTCAGTGAGAAGCCGAAGACGTCGAACCCGGAGCGATAGTCCTAGCAGTCAATTTCCCCCACGAAAACGACCACGACAGAGCTATGAAGGTAGCTCAAGACCCCCTTCGGCAAGCAGCACAGGGACGAGCATCGGTCAACACTATGGCGTCGGAGACGAGGAGGCACTCGGAAATATCTTTGCGTCTTACCCAGAGATGTTTACGACAGCTCCCCGGCCTCATGGATCGCGTGGGATGAACGAGCCACCATGGGAGCTGCGATTCAATCAGGAGATTCACCTTTCGAATGATTTCCAGATCTCTAGACGACGGTCGCAGCGAGTCAGAATACCTATACCAGGCCCCGAAGCCAATCAACTACCTTCCTACTCTCCACGGCAGTCAACACAAGAGCAACCGTCTCCGACAAAGGCCGAGTTTCAGTCTGTCTTAACGCTCGTACGCGAGGTGATTGGGACAGATCGGAGGCCTACCCTCGAGCTCGCCCGTTCATACGAACGGGTCCGCCGATGGCGTGAGAGATGGAGCTACTCGCCGCTCAGTTCAGATGCACTCGAATCCCCGCCACCCTACTCGCCTCCCCGAGACAGGCGTCCTCCGAATCTAGCCTCGTCGCCGCCCTCGCCTGACCACTCCTCGTCGCCTGTCCCAGACCCGATCCCGAACCCGCCCATCCCAGGCGACCCAGTGACATCAGCCGAGGCTCTCTTCGATTGGGTGAATGGCTTTGCGAAGGCTAATGGGTTCGGCATTGCTAGACATAATACCCATTCGCATAAAGGTCGGAAGATTCGATACACGATTCGCTGCGATCGGTTTGGAGAGCCGAAGTCTAGTAGAGGTGCAGGTATCCGACAACGCAAGTCCCGGAAGTGTGGATGTAAGTGGATGGTTGTTGCAGAGGCGGCAGAGGAGGGGAAGTGGCTCTTGCGACAGCACTCGGACCCCGAACACGGCCAGCATAACCACGGGCGCAGCATCGGGCCATCTGCCCATCCCTCCCATAGGAGGCTCACTGAGCCTAACAGGGCTACAGTCGAATCGACAAGCCGCCGGGTTGGAATCCGGGCTCGCGATGTACGGGCTGTTGTCCAGGAACAACACCCCGAGTCAATCTTCACACAGAGGGACATCTACGACGCCAGGTCCCTCATCAACCGCGACAAGTTGGAAGGACATACACCTACAGCAGCACTCATCAAGCTCTTCGACGACATGGGGATTCCTTATCTAGTTAAGTGGGGGGATGATGAGCCGAACCGTCTTGTTGGCCTTGTCTGGTCCTTCCCCTACTGCCTCCAGATGTGGAAGCGGTTCCCTGAGGTGATCAGCTTTGACAACACATACAACACCAACCGCTTCAAGCTTCCGTTATTCCAGGCAACAGGACAGACATGCCTTGGCTCTGTCTACAACGCTGCCTTCGGATTGATCGATAACGAGAGGAGAGAAGGATTCCAGGTCCTGTCCGAGAGCATTCGACAGCTCGCAGAGCAGCATTCGATTCGACAACCGGATGTCATCATCGCCGATTTCGACAACCAGATGAAGGCCGCTCTTGACGACCAGTTCCCTGAGGTACAGCAGCAGCTCTGTATCCACCACATCAATTCCAACGTCCTTCTCAAGGCAAAGCAGAAGTGGCTGAAGGGCCGTAGCAGCAGTAGTCCCGACGGCAGCGACGATGCAGATGCCTCTGTTCCACAGAGACACGATGAGCTGAGCCCCAAAGACCGACAGTTCGTCCACGATCCCTCAATTGAGAATACCCCTCATACTTACCGAGGAGTCCTGATGATGTGGAAGCTCGTCTTGTTTGCCGAGACTGAGGAGGCTCACGAGAAGGCATGGGCAAACCTCTGTAAGGAGTTTGATGACCAGCGGGCTATCCTGCAATATCTCCATGGAACCTACATGCCTGTCAGGGCTCAGTGGGCACGCTGTTTCATCCGCAAGTATCGCAACTTCGGCATCCGCGTCACCTCTGGGACGGAAGCGAGTAACAACAACGTCAAGAGCTATCTTCTCAATGGCATGAGCCACCTCTATCGGCTAGTCGAGGCGATGCAAGATATGATAAGGGACCAAGAGCGGGATTTCACCCATGCCTGCGCACAGGACGAGGTACTGACTGCCCGCGAGTATCTCGGCTCGAGCTCGGAGTACTTAGGTGAACTGCGAACAGTGACTTCGTCGAAAGGTCTCGGGCTGATCACAAAGCAATATCGGCTAGCAAGGAAAGCGATGCCGACGGGGAAGAATCCATTCCCCGATCCTCTCGATGATTGCAGTAAGGACTGCTCAGTTTCGGCAGAGCTTGGAATTCCCTGTTTCCATAAGATCTACTCCAAGATAGGGGATGGTACACCTTTTGCTAAATGGGACGTCCATCCACGGTGGCGCCTACGAGAGTCAAGCTCTCGAGATCCATACCGACGCATCCTCGACCCTAAGATCGCCACTGCTCTCCGTGGCAGACCTAAGAACACCACACAGGCTGTCCCAGCGCGGCTAGCCATCGGGGCAAGCAGCCAGCCCAGCACTCGGTCAGCCGGCAAACCAGCAAGCCAGCCAACTAGCCAGCCAGCTAGCCAGGCATCAGGGCGCAGACGAGGTCGACCACCAGGAAGTCGGAACAAGTCGACGCTTCCTAGGCTTACACTGGAAGCGAGCCAACAGGCCAGCACCCATGCTAGTTGCCAGGCCAGTACCTCGTCCCAGCGCCAGACACGCAACCGGTCAGCTGTTCTAGGAACGGGAAGAACTACGGGAGTACGTGCCAGCGGACGAAGGACGCAACCAAGCATCCGGAGGCAAAGGAGTCAGTGGGAGATGGCTGAGAGTGACGATGAGGTTCTTTCTTGTATAACAGTTAGGGAGTAGAGGTGTAGATAGCTGCCTTCGAGGGCGTAATGAAGTTGGCTTTGTTCTGTATGGAAAACCAGACCTTATTCTGACGCCTGGGCAAGACCTCTCCTAGGGGGCTGGCCCGACCTCACAGCTTGTACACTGAAAGGAAGGTCTTGTTAGTGAAGCTGGCTTCACCGCCTTTGCGAGGATGTACCTGTGGAGTTAGCTTAAAATCAGCGAATCAGAAGCCATAAAAGTCACGCGTCCCTAAGGCTCACGCGTCCCTATCCAAACGTCACGCGTCCCTATCAATTCCCTTTTCAATATCACTACGGAGGCGTGCCGATACCAGGGAGGCATGACCATTCTAGCGCGTGTCCATGACCGCAGCTGTCATGGTGGGCCCTAGCTAAGGAACCATGGATTTTGCCCATTGATCCGTACCCAATCTGTTCGCCAGGATCCCTTTATTCATATCTATACAAGATGAAGGCTCCTTTGGCTGACAGAATCTCATAAGAAGTCGCATTCAGGGCCCCCATTGTTCCCCGTGTTCCGTATTTGTTGGACTCATGTTGCCTCAACAGACAGCTTCATCTCGGACGGCACCCGTCAGCACACCGAACTCCATCATGTCCAACTGGCCTGGGTCCGAGGGTCTGCCATCTCGAAAGGATGCAAGGAGAGTAGATCGCCCAGATTATACTATGACTTGGTCGAACGATTCCAGGTAGGCACATCGCCCGATGACGGGTCATTGCTCGTTCATCCTCCGCTGACCCGAGACAGTTCGAACGCTAGTCTGGAGCGTCGTGTGGTAGAGCTCGAGCGGCGAGTTGAGGTTCTAGCGAGGCTCCTAGGGGCATTCACGAAGCGAACCCTCGATGCCTGGTGAGTAGACTGTTGTCGTTGGCCGAAGTCTCTTGGCTAATAAAAGAAGCACCGACAACATGGAAGCACTTCAGAATGAGGGTTCAAGCTGGTAGGTAGGTTTCCGACTCTGGCGACCTCGGTGCTATCCATCATGTTGTAATCGGGACGAGTTTAAGAAATGTAATACAATTACTATATGTGTCGCGAACACTTATGGCTTCCTTGCGCCTCGCCTTGTCTATGCTATCAAAGAGATGACTCGACGCGATTAGCTGTGTTTCTATGATTGTTACCACGTCCATCTGGGAATCCAGATTTTGTGTATAACCTGCCCTGTCCTGTTAGGAGAACGATGTGGCAAAAAAGGGGGAAGCTAGCTGTGATGGCCTTTTCGATGCGTGAGTCAGACTGCGACCGCTGGCCCCCCGGAGCTGATGGGGTTAGAGAAAGTAGTGCCATGCCGGCCGCGCCTGTCACGGTGGGTACGGTTGTCATACCTGTCGCGGTCATGGTTGTCATGGTGGGTAGGGTTGTCATGATTGTCATGGTGGGTAGGGTTGTCACGGTTGTCATGGCTGTCACGATGGTCATGGTGAGTAGGGTTGTCATGGTTGTCATGGTAGGTAGGGTTGTCATGGTGGGTAGGGTTGTCATGATTGTCATGGTGGGTAGGGTGTCACGGTTGTCATTGTGGGTAGGGTTGTCATGGTGTCATGGCTGTCACGATGGTCATGGTGGGTAGGGTTGTCATGGTTGTCATGGTAGGTAGGGTTGTCATGGTAGGTAGGGATGTCATGGTTGTCATGGTGTCATGGTGGTCATTGTGGGTAGGGTTGTCATGGTAGGTAGGGTTGTCATGGTTGTCATGGTGTCATGGTGGTCATTGTGGGTAGGGTGTCACGGTTGTCATGGTGGGTAGGGTTGTCACGGTTGTCATGGTGTCATGGTGTCATTGTGGGTAGGGTTGTCATGGTGTCATGGCTGTCACGATGGTCATGGTGGGTAGGGTTGTCATGGTTGTCATGGTGGGTAGGGTTGTCATGGTTGTCATGGTGTCATGGTGGTCATTGTGGGTAGGGTGTCACGGTTGTCATGGTGGGTCCGGTTATCATGGTGGGTCATGGCTGTCATGGTGTCACCACGGAATTGAACAAAGTGGATTGATTGTTGTTAAGGTACAAAAGGAGACTTCCAGAAGTCCAAACGAAGGTAATTGGTCAGATCCAGCATCGGTAAGGAGTCTTACCGGGGCGATAACGACAGAACAAATGCATCAAATGAGGACTCCACATTTGGGATGAAAGTACTCCTGGGTCACAGAACAGAACCTTGCCTGATCGGCAACACACCCCCTCAGATGGGTAGGCGAGCCTCTCTCTGACCATCTGAACCACGAAAGATCAGGCAGATGCCTGTTGGCGGCTTTTGGTAGAGAATTTGGTGCCTTTGGAACAGTTGGCGTTCTCAGGGCAGATGAAGGAAATCGTGCTTGTGAAGCAAATAAGGATGTGTGTAAGTGTTAGGAGAGGTGGGCGAAATTGAGCAAGCTGTTCACTGGTGGACCGCTGGTACGCACTCCATCTGCAGAAGCTTCACGAAGTTCTGATGCTTCTGAGTCGGGAGAATCTTTGTAAGCCCATCGCTCACTATCTTGTCAGTGCTCATCCAGTCCACGGATATCTTCCCCTGTCTGACTGTTTGTCGGATCCAAAGACGATGGATGTCAACATGCTTGAGCTTCGTAGTGGCTTGAGGCCTCTCACTAGTGAGTAACAGCAGCGTTTGGCGGTTATCACAGAACATCTGGATCGGAACCTTGCCATGAAAACGTAGCTGAAGCTCCTTGATCAGACGAAGAGTGGCAAGGTAGTTCCTCGCTGCGACACTGAGGGCCACCAGCTCAGCTTCGGTGCTAGAAGTGACCACGGATCGCTGCTTTGTAGCTTTCCAGTCAATTGGACCTCCAAAGAGCATGGTGGTGTATCCTTGTGAGCTAAATCTGGTGATGGGATCATCGCCGAATGATGCGTCGCTCGCACAATACAGCGATGTAGAATGGTCTCCTGATCCTCCGTAGGACAGCGAGAGAGTCCTTGTGCGATAGAGGTAGCGGAGACAGTGGTCTGCTGCAAGGTGATGGAGTTCTGTCGGCCTGAGCAGAGACTCCGCAAGTCTTGAGGCAGCTTTGGCCACATCAGGTCGTGTTGTGGTTGCTGCGTAATTGATGGAACCAATTTTGCGTTGGTATAGTTGAATGGATTCAGCAGAGGCTTCGTAATCCTTTGGAGCAGGTGCTGGGTCTGTTGATAGAGGCGTCAAATGACCTCTGGTGGATGGCTGGAGGTTGAGGTCCTTCATCTTTTCAGTGATGTAGTTCTCCAGAGACAGCCAGAGCTTGCGCTGGCTACGATCTCTGACCACTCTGATGCCTAAGAACCATCTGACCTCGCCAAGTTCTCGCATCTCGAACAGAGACTTGAGCTGGCTCTTCAGCTCTTCGGCCGCTTGGCGATCCTCTTTGCGGTTCATGAGGATGATGTCGTCAACGTAGAAGAACATGATCATGCCTCTGCCCATGAAGACACAGTTATCTTCCTCGAGAGCCACGAGGCCGATCTTCCGCATAGCCTCGGACAGCAGCTTGTGCCAGAGAAGCGGTGATCGGCGCAAACCGTACAAAGCTCTCTTCAGCTTGAAAATCGTGCGCCTCTGTGGAGCGCCCTTCTTCTGTTGCATCTCCTGCATGAGATCCCAGCCCTGAGGGGCCCAGACGTAGACTGTCTCGTCGAGGTGTGCATTTGGAAAGGCGTTGACGGCATCCAACTGGTGCGTGTCTAGGTCAAACTCTGCACAGATGGCCATCAACGTTCTGAACGTCTTGGCTGCCAGTGTCGACGCGTATGTTTCCATCTCATTCTTGGGCTGTTGGTCTCCTCGTACGCAGAGCCTGGCCTTGAACTTGGTCACGTAGCCGGTGGAGTCAACCTTGTATTTCCAGACCCAGGTCAACCCGAGAACCTTGTGTATTTCCTGGTCGACCGATTCGAAGGGGACTTGCTCGATTGTGTCCATATTTTCAATGGTGTTGACCTCCTGGACGCTTGCTTCTAGCCACTGCTTTTTGTGATCAGAATGAAGCATCTCCTTCCAGGATCTTGGCTCCGCGGGCATATCTGTTCGGAGAAGCGGTTTCTTGTTCGATGGAGTCTGAGTGTGAAAGAATGAGTATTCCACGGTCAAATGTGATGATGGAGGCATTTTCTTGCTGCGGCGGGCTCCTAGAGCCTGGTCGGTGGGGGTGCCGTCTTTGAACTGTGACGGCTTTCTGTCTCTAGCGCTCCTTCGAGTGCCTTGGATTTGTGTTGATGGCGACGGCTGTGGGGCTGGTGCCACTGATGGTCGGGCCTCCACAGTCTCTGTCTCGTCTTCAGCTGAACTTTGATCAGCTGGTGTGTGTTGAGGTGTTGATTCAGGGCTCCGAGCTACTTCGATAGTGTCTTCAATAGCCTCTTCAGTCACTTGAATGGTGTCTGGCACGGGGATCGTGTCTTCCACAGCATCTTCAGCCCCTTGAATGGTGTCTATTACGGCATCTTCCACCCCCTCAGAGACAGCTGGCTGGCCTTGTCCAGTCTCCGTCTCTGGAGTTGGACGTGGTGACGGCAGGACATCATCTCTGCTGGCTGTGTGACCTTCCCGGGGTCGCAGTATCTCCGCGTTGATCTTTCCTCCAAGTTGGAATGTCCGGGCTTTCTCGAACAGGTCGATGGTGGCAACATCGAACTCGTCAATGTCCAGTGACGAGTTGAAAGGATTCTGGGCGTCCGCAACGGGCACGTCCAAAGCCTGGAATTCGTCCTGTAGAATTGGCTTTGGGGATTGGGCGTCCTTGAAAACTGTGGACTCATCGAAACCCACGTCTCTTGTCCTCAATACTGCTTTCATCTCTGGAACCCAGATTCTGTATATGTTGCTGCTGTCGTATCCACAGAGATAGCCGATGTGGGCTCTCGGAGCCAGCTTCTGCTTTCGGTTACGTCCCTCTTGGGCGTCTGCCGTGAGAGGATACGCCCTGCATCCGTATCTTCGCAGGTGAGCCAGGCCTGGAGCCGTAGTTCGAGCGGCAAGGCCCTTGGAGTTGAGCCAGTCGTTCAGCCTTCCTTCTGGTGTCGCCCACTGTAGGCGTCCCTTCGGCGTGAGATTGTGGAGATATGCAGCGGTTTGTACCACCTCTGGCCACAAATCCTCCGGGAACCCAGCAGCCGAGGTAAGGGTTCTTGCGATGGTGAATATCGTGCCTCCATTGCGTTCTGCGGCACCGTTCTGTTCTGGTGTCCTTGCGGCTGATCTCTCCAAGAGAATGCCGCGCTCTTCTGACCAAGTAACCAGATTGCTGCGTAGTGCTGAGTCCCAGTCAACTCTCAGGACCTTGATGACCAGATGGTACTGTCTCCAGAGAAACATCTCAAAGTTGATAAACGCCTGGAAGCCATCTGCTCTGGCAGGCAGAATCCTGACAACAATCTTCCCCGAATATGCGTCCGTTATTACAAGGCACGACTCCATGCCGTTGTACGACTTCCCAGGGCTGAAGAAGTCCAGGTTGACGCGCTCAAATGGATTCGTCGTCGTGTACGTTGGCTGTCTCCGAGATACAATCTTCTTGGATTTCGCTACCCCGCAAGACTCGCATTCGAATGTTGTTGGCCCTTTCACCCCAACTCCAGTACAGCTGTATGGCAGCTGCTGTATGGCCTCTGGGTGGGCATGAGCCAGCCGTTCGTGCCAGAGCCTCGAGTCGCTGACCATCGCGGCTCTCTGCTTCTTGGAGTGATAGAAGGAAGTGGTGCTATGTAGGGTGTTCACCGCATACTGGCCACCCTTCTCCTGAAGTGGGATCTCTGAGCCAGTGGCTGGGTTGAACAGCATGTTCCTGAGGGAGTCCAGTCCGAGTCCTTGGCGTTGGAGCTGCCTGGCTGAAATAAGCGTCGTCGGGTAGTCTTTGATGTACGAGACATCATGGCAGGTGATGCTGATGACGTTCTGCTTGCTGTCGAGGGTGTCGATGGCCATCGTGCCATGCCCTTCGACGGGGCTTGATTTGCCTCCTCCTGTGCTGTATCTTACAGTGTCGGTGGCCTCGCGAAAGTTGGTGAGGAGGTCTTTGTTGTTGGTTATATGGTTGGGTGTACCCGAGTCGATCAGGAACTCGTGACGGAGATCCCCTCCTCGGTTTGTCCGTTGAAACTCGTCCGAATCAGCGACGGAGAAGTTGCTCATGAAGTTGGTGTACTCGTCATCGCAGCTCTGTTCATCATCGTCACCGAGGAAGTTGTTAAAAGCAGAGACGGCGACTCCACTGGTGCCTCTTGCCTCCTGCCGCTTCTTTTTGTCCTCCTTGATTTTCTCGTTCCAGAATTGCAATGTGCTTGGCTTCATCCTTTTCTTCGCTTCGTCAATGTAGTCCAGCAGGCTCTGATCGGATTGATAGCTCTTCTTCCTCCGGTGTTCCGCGATATTTGGGCACAGACAGATGGGCTGACACGCCTTGGGTGCCCTCTTCTGCTGTACACAGTCGCAGAATGGTCTGCGAGAAGGCGAGCTGTTTGGCTGTTGAGGAGAGTCACGATGGGAATCCTGGGCACTCGTCCGATCACTTTGACCATTCCGGTCCTTGCCCATGAAGGTCACCGAGTCGCTGTAGAAGGACGTCTGAGATGGCTTGGTGGTGAGGCGATGCGGTTGGTAGTCTCTAAGGTAGCTCTTGTACCTCAACGCCAGTACCTTCCCTCCATCACGATCATCCAGCTCCCGGCGAACTTGGTGGGCGCACTCTGCTTCGGCCCACCCTGGAGACACGGAAAGAATTGCCCGAAGGAATTGAACATTTTGATCTGCGGCTTCTTTAAGCTGAGGAATCCCGTGCTTCTCAACTTCGATACAGAGTAGGATGAAGTCGTCAACCCACTTCTCATGGTCCATCTTCTTGATCATCGCCATATGCTCCTCCCAGCGCTGGCGAATGTATTGTTTCTGTCCCATGTCGGAAGGGGCGAAGTGGTCCTTCAACGCCTTGAGCCACTCCTGGCTGCTTTCCTCGTTCATGAAGACGGCCGAAAGGCTCCTGTCGACTGTGTTGAGGATGTATTTCTGGGACCTCCTGGAGGCCCGCTGACTCCCTGTTGTAGATGTCCAAATGGATCTTGTACAACGTCAGCAGTGTGCTGAGATCTCGCGTCTCATCTTCGAATGACGGTGCTGTTGGCTTCTTGGCCCTCTTGGGCCGCCTGTCAGCCTCTTTGTCTGGGTCGACTAGATCCCAGGCCTCGTAGGAGGTCGCCACGGCTCTGACGGAGTTGAGCCATGTCCTCCATTCCTCCCTCCTTGTAAGTGTCACTCTGTGCTTACCAGAGTCCATCTTGAGGATCCCTGGGCGTTGTCGGAGACCGTCGGGGAGGTCGTTCGATGGTCGCGACTGATCGCGTGTATGTTGAATATCATCAATTGACCCCGCGTGTACTCAAGCCCTAGGCCACACGTCTCGGAGGTTCAATTGGTCTTGAGGAGCTGATTTCTCCTGCTTCGATGTGTCGTGGAGAGATGATCGCTCTCCTGGAGGATGTCGGTAACGGCCCTTGGCCAGTGGTCGTCAATGGCGAAACGTCGCGTCAATTGACTGTTGAAGTGCAGCGGCGATTCAGCTGTAGACAGCTTCGCAGCAGGCGTATTGGCCGTAGGCGCCCTGCTGTAGATATCGAAGGTCAAGGAGCTATATCGTCGCCCGGGCTCATAACTATCACCACGGAATTGAACAAAGTGGATTGATTATTATTAAGGTACAAAAGGAGACTTCCAGAAGTCCAAACGAAGGTAATTGGTCAGATCCAGCATCGGTAAGGAGTCTTACCGGGGCGATAACGACAGAACAAATGCATCAAATGAGGACTCCACATTTGGGATGAAAGTACTCCTGGGTCACAGAACAGAACCTTGCCTGATCGGCAACATCAGGCCCAGTGTCGGCGTCTGAGTGGGTCGGAACCTGTCACGTGTCCTCGGATGCTCTGGCTTCCCCCACAACCCGTGCGTGCTGCCAAGGGGGACCAAATTCCGTCAACTTACCTGGCGGATCACGACTTAAACACGACGATTTCCTTGGTAATGTGCAGCTTTGCCCTGTTGCTGATAGTAGTACTGACCGTTGTATGAACGAAGTCTGGTCAAAGGACATTTGACATTGACGGCAATCGTGCCTTCGACATGAATCAATCGACTCAGGCTCTTCAGAAGAGGCTGAGCGAAGCCATCGCTGAGCATGGAAAGAAACAAGAGGAGCTCAATGAAATCCTAGAATTCCTTGAGACTATCGATAATGCGGACTTGGATCAGATGTCGGGGAGCGCATCAAGCGCAAGAAACAGAAGGAGGAAAGCCAAGACCCAAACAGTAAGGGACGAAAAAGACAGGTACGAAAAGAAACGGGATGATTTGGAAGTAGCCATGGCACGAATGTTGGAGAAGATATACGAAATCAAGGAAGCCTTAAACTCCGAGGCGCATTGAGGGTAAATATTCACTGGAATTTTGCCTTCAATGCCTCTGATCTCGCAAGCAGACTATCAACTTCTGTGATGTACAAATCGTTTTGTTTGAGCCATTCTGTATATCGACCACACTGCTCCACTCGACTTTGCACTAGCTGCGTGAGAGTGACACTTTGTGTGAAAAAGCCAGACAATTGTTCCTTATAGCTCTCGCCTGACTCATCTAGGGGAGAGAAGATGTCCAACACGTCGGGTGGTCGACGGAAGACATGTGCGATGCAAAATGCTGGGTTTTTTTGGTCAATGCCGCCATCACCGTACCACTCTTGTTTGAGCTTTGCAAAGCGGCCGTCCGCTTTGCCTTTCTTGACTAGAATATCGAAGAATTCAGCATGCGTTTCTTCGCTGCCCTCGTCTGGATCATGCCCAGTGATCCAAGAAGGGGGAGTAAAGATTCGACGCGGAATCGTGCTAGTGAACTCCCAATCTATTATACCCCGGATATTGAGTTCATCATCAACGATGATGTTGGCGCCTCGCATGTCCTGATGATGAAGAACAAATGGCTCTCCGTCTGCGGAGCGGCCGCCGAGCTCGCGAACTGCTTCTTTCATGGCGTAGAACGCAGCAATCTCTTCTTTGATGTCGTCTTCCGTAAGATCGGCAACCGGAATGGATATGAAGTCAGATACAAGATTGATTTGGTATTCCATATAGTCCACAGTAGAGGCGAAGGGTTTGTGAGGTAATCGATGAGCCAGAGAGAGTGTCCTGTGATGAGGCTGTCGAAGGGTAACAGCAGACATAGAGATGACCGGTCCTACATCAGGACCAGGACTACCGTCGGAGCTTGGTGTCAGAGAGCCTATGGCGGGAAACTCAAGTCTCCTCAGTTCGGCCAAGATATCAATGAGCTGCGAGAAGAACCTTGTCCTGTGTTCATATTTGGCGTTGATGAGGAGCTTTTTGTTTAGCGAACAGCCGTGGATGAATTCTGTGATCAAGAACATCTGCGTTCGCTCATTTTCTGATGTCAGGCAGACATCGCGTCCATAGGCATGGACAATAGGGACAGGAACTTGGGTTTCCAACTTGAGATATCTGTTCTTGGATGAGTACTAATTGGAGGTTGGAAGTAAGCCCGACTGACCGCATTGTTGCTACTTCACTCTCAAGTTTGATCCATGCATCATCGAAAGCCGGCTCTATTGGAATTCGAACGATCCATTTCGCACGATCCTCGTAGAACTCGATGAATACGCAAACGTTGAAGCTGCCACTTGCTTTGCCGACTACCCGGCAAGATTTACCGTTGTTATAGCGGGATGCCAGCGCGCAGAGGGCATTGTCATCGAGAGATTTGATGAAACTTTTCCTTGATTGTTTGTACTGGTCGTCAGTCAGGAGAGGGAATTCGCGAAGGATGAGGCTGGCTTCGGCTTCAACGTCGGGTGCGTTGTCTACAGGAAGATCATTAATCCTGCCGACAAAAATCAAACGGAAGACGCGTAAAAACGTATTGGAGAAAGAAACGAAGAGGGATGCAGAACACGAGCGCATCAGCCTGATGATATCGGCGAGCATCTTGGGAGCTTGACCCTCTTGATGAGTTCACCTGTTGATGGAAAAATGTGGGGGAGGGGGGTGGTGCAGCGAACATCTGTCAGTTCATTTATTGTTGTCAACCACGACGATGGAGGTTTTGCTTACATCAGCGGTCTCGTCCCGCTTTAGATGAATCTGATCCTGGATGAGCTATGTGGAACGTGCACTTACTGGGGTTTACCACCTGAACATTCAAGGTGAGAGAATTACCTAAGCAATCATCTGCCTATAGTCATCATCCCCTGATTGCATCCATCAGGCATCTGTGTTATGCATCTAAACATATCTAAGGATACTATTTCGATGGACACGACAGCCGATCGATCGAGGGTGAGCTGGTTGGACCGCGATAAGTCCCACTTCATGTGGGTCTCACTGCAGCCAGGGCATGAGATGATGCATATGGTGCTGGATGAAGAAGGGAGGAATGGTGTCGCACAATGACAACTCCGACCATGCAAGCCGAGGAGTCAAACCATCGGGATTCGAACAACTGAAGACACAATCGGCGATTTTTCAAGCACGACAAAGACGACCAGTGCGCGCAATTCTCTAGTGGCTATAGAGGGAAGTTTGTCAGGGCTAAAAACAGGGAGCATTAAGACAACAACCGAGAACTCGATAAAGGCGCTCTCGCGACCAGGATTGCACTACGGACGGTCATGGAATCCGAGCAACCCCCCGCCCGCGTCAGCAAAGTCTAGTTGTCCTTTCGAGCTTGGAAACGACGCTGCAAGCATTGGACGGAGTCAAACTGGAGATGCGGAGGAGCCACCTGCACCACCGTTGCTTCCTCGACAGACCTTCAC